TTCTCCCCCCCTGGCTCATTCTCCAGCAGGACTGATGCAGAATTCCCAGCATGCCTTGGTGCTGAAGGTAAGTGTCCGTTGGCTGTAGGTATGCGGTGCTCCTCCAGCTTGGGGCGGACTACAAGTTGCAGCGTGTCCATCCTGCTAGTTCCCTATTGGTTTCGCCCTAAGCCAAGCCAGAGCCCCGCCCCCTAATCAACAGGCGACTCGAAGATCGTTAATGTGGCACCAAAAAGCCCGGTCACTTATCACGGTTTTTGGGGATCCTGCTCCGAACCAGAGAACTTTGGCTACGACCCAGAACTGAAAAGAGGAACCGGGTATAATCCGCACGCCGATGGCAGACCGCGCCTCGGATATAGCGATGTGTATGATGCGTCGGAGCCCCGCCCCCTTTCACGTTGAGCTGCGGCCCCACTGCCGTACTTATCGCTGTCGGGCCTGTTCATGGCGGCCATTTGTATGCAATGCAGGCTGGTGGGAGGGGCCGACAGGGTGCTGTACATGGCTTCCTGAAAACATCACAGCGCCCTGTCTCAGTACTTCTCTCTAGAGCCCTGATGCAAGCAGTGGGCCGGCTCTTGGGAGGAGTTATGCAAATATCAAAATGCCTCGATGGGTGGGTGTCAGTCCGGAGGTGTGGGGTGTTCCGAGGCAGGCTCTAGTTGCATAGGTAACGCCCACATATGATGCTGAACCTTCATGATTGACAGAACTGAGATGCGATGAATGAAAGGGGCGGAGCCAGGGGAGGAACATGCTAGATGACGCTGGACGTCCTCCAGCCAGGAAATGAGGTGGAAATTGTATTATCTCCTTCCTGTCTGTACCCGAGTATAAAAGCATCGGGTCTGTCCGAGAGCAGAATCTGTCCCCGTTGGCCGTCACAGCCAATCAGATCCTAGATGGTAGAGTCTGGTTGCCGTGGGCGACGAGAACGGTTCTGTCTTCAGACACTGAACAGATCCCGGGAATGGATTGTTGCTGCGCTGACACGGCTGCCGTATTTTTGTGTTTCAGATATTAACGAGCTGAACTTGCCGAAGACGTGCGAAATCGAGTTCTCCGACCATGACGACCTTCTCAATTTCAAGCTAGTCATCTGTCCCGACGAGGTAGGTGTCTGCGGATCAGCATGACAGCCGCTGGGCGCTAATTGTGGCTCAGTGATGTCATCGCGGTACGATTTCAGCAACGCGACAACCCTGTCTTGTGAAAAGAGATTTCTCCTCTCTCGGTGACACCCACGTCGTTGCTGTGAGCTGGACTTTCCATCTCCCCTCCCCCTACCATGCATCCTCCGCAGGAGCTTTTACCTGACTGCATTCCCCACCTGTTTCTATAGGGATAGGAGGAGAATGCGGGCAGCACAGCAACCCATTGGGTGTCACCAGAGCTGGAATTTTCCCCAGAGGGGACACACATGGCAACTAAACCGTGACCTCAAATCCGACCCCTTCACTCCATTATAGAGAAGCTTTTTGGTTGGAGTTCTGCTTTAATCCCACAAATACCTGACATGGATGGGACGTGTAGACTTCCCCTTTAAAAATAACTTATTTATCAATCGGTTTACTGAAACATTTTTAAATTGTAACTTATATGTCAAAATAGCCGTTTCCAGATCTATCTGCCCTATAAAAGTACATGGTGTATTCTTCTTCTGACATGTTTCAGGCTCTGGGGTCTGGAGGGGGGTGTTCAGACAGCATAGAGGAGGGCCTCATCACTCAGCAGTGAGGTGATTCTCATT